TTGTCACTCTTTTGCTCCCACTCAACGACAGGAAATGGAGATGATCATTTTTATGGATATAATCTTGAATTTTATATGTTTGTATTTCTTAAAATAAATCACTAGTGAACTTTGTTACTGAATACATTGTAAGATATCATTTGTGATGTGCCTCAAGATTAAGCATGACTGGCACCTGTAGAGGAGCCTGTGGTGTTTGGGAATACCTGCACCAAAGTCCAGGCACCCCAGAGGACCATTATCTGAGAAGTAGAAGGGAGATGGGTCTAGGTGATGAGATCTGGTTAAATTGGTAATTTTTAAAGTAAGATTCTCTCTCTACATTATCATATATAGCTAACATTTATTGATCATGGATGTTGTTCTGAATAATTTACATGAATTTTTTAAATTCAGTCCTCACAATGATAAGAAATAGGCTCCAGCATTCTTCACCATTTTATAATAAGGAGGCAGAATAACTTGCCTGAGGTTATAATAAAGCATTTGTCATGAAGCATTGATGCTAGACCCTAAGCTAAAAGGAAAGTTTGAGAAAGAAACTCAGTTTATATAGAATAAAACAATGAGGGAGGAAAGGTGCATCTGATTTTAAGCTTTCAAAAGAATTAACTAAATGCAATCAAGGAACTAAAAAAAACAAAAGTTGAAGCTTTACTGTGAAGCTAAAACTCAAAGGTTACTAAAGAGTTGATTACTCAGTTTTTAAAAACAGTATGAAAGATAGTTTCCAAGCTTTTATGGCCTTTGGGACCACCTCCAAATCCAAGAGATAATGAGAAATGAATAGCACAATTAAATTCTAGCCATTCATTGAAATGCTCAGGGAGCACACAAGAAGAGGACACTTTTAACTCAGGTCAGGTCATGAGGGAAAAATTGTAAGAAAGAACTTGCAAACCAAAATGTTGTTTTAAGGATTCTTAATTCAGGGATCCCTGGGTGGCTCAGTGGTTTAGTGCTTCCCTTTGGCCTGGGGTGTGGTGCTGGAGTCCCAGGATCAAGTCCCACATCAGGCTACCTGCCTGGAGCCTGCTTCTCCCTCTGCCTGTGTCTCTGCCTGTGTCTCTGCCTTTCTCTCTGTGTGTCTCTCATGAATAAATAAGATCTTAAATAATAATAATAAATATATTTTTTATTTTTAAAATAATAAATATATTTATTATTTTTAAACAATAATAATAAATCTTAAAAAAAGGATTCTCAACTCAAACTGATAGCATTATACATATTTTAAAGAACTTTAATTTCAGTTTAATTTTAAATAAATGAACTAGCCATTCTCCTGTGAGATATATATATATGTATATATATATGTATATATACATATACATATATATATATAAAACACATACATATATACACTTAACAGTGTTAAACAACACAAATTCAGCTGAGGAAATATGGATATCCAATTGGCTTTATTAAACGGTTCAGAGATTGGACAGCATATCATCTAGTAAGTAGAGGGGAACTCTGTAGACCCGTAGAAAAGGAAAGATTTAAACAGGGTGAGTTGGAGGGAATTGCTAGCAAAGAATGCAATGTTTAGGCAAAGTTTCCTTCCTAAGGGGAAGAAAACGTTTAACACATTACCTCCTGGTGTTCACCAAGAAATTCCAGTTGGCAGATTAAAAGTTATGAGGGGGTGAGCCTAATACCTTAGATTAGGTATTAAGTCTTGCTTTACTGCCATGGGACCTTAACATGACTTCATTTTGGGCCTGTGCCTCTTTTAAAAGCACATGTCTTATTAAATATGATTCTGAAAACTTTATCTGTTTTATTGCTTTTTTGGAGAACTTCCTTTTGAAGTAAGCAGAGTGAGAATGAGAATTTTGATTCAAAGTATAGGGACAATATTCTAATTAGTACAAACTTTCTCTGGCTGACTTATTTTTTACTCATGCTATTCGTGTATTGATGTTTCATAGACATATTTAAGAATATTATTTTCTGGGCTCTTTAATCATGTTTAAGATGTCATCTTATCAAATAGTCACAATTATGAAATGTAATGGTTTTCTAATTTTTGCTGTTATAAAATGTATCTCACATTTTAAAAAGTAAAAGAAAGAAGAAAGAATATTGGGCTGGAACCTGGAATCCCTAGGCATTCATCTCATCTGCCACTTACTGGCAATTGTGACTTCAAGATAATATAAACCTTCCTCGATCTGCGTTCTTACATATAAAATGATGGAGCTGGACAAATTGAACACATGGTTTCTCTCTTCTTTCAAGAAGAAAATAAACATGTTTAATCATTTTAAATCGCCGAACTTCATTTTTTTCACGATATCAGGCATATTTGGCAGGAGTTGTTATTTATCCCATTGATGGAAAATTAAATCTAAGCTTATATCTACATGTCCCTAAACACAATTTATTTTTTATCTTCTTAAAATGTTTGAATTTGCATTGCTATATTGCAGGCACACAGGGAATTGGAAAATAAATAAAACAGACACCTACATTGACACCAGTGAAATTAAACACTGTAACATCCAAGTATAATTTGAAAACAACATATACATTAGCTATTAATAAATTCTATTATCTGCTATTGTCCTTCAGTAAATTAGATAGTTATGCTATTGTCCTGAAAAGGCCACTTAACTGGGACAAAGGGACTCCTTGAATGCCACAGATACAGGACAGTCAGAGGCCACAATAGGACAAAAGACTCAGAGTCTCACTGAATTTTAATCTCAGGGACTCAGACTTAGAGCCTGAGGCTTTGTTCCTCCAGTTTTTAAGAGAGCTACCAAGTTGGCTTTCGGAATGATTGACTTTGGGAAGCAGAGAAAAACATATTTACTTCAAAAGGCAAATAGGCTAGTGGCTCCAAGAAAGGGAAGGGAAGGAACTCTGTTTGGAGAACAATGGGGTCAAAAGTCAGTGTTTAGGACCTTCAGTAACCCCAGTGTGTTGAAGATTAGGAGATTCAGTTCTCAAATAGGCTCTGCAACTGGCTCCCCACACTTAAACTGTTTTTTTTTTCTTTTATTCAGGGTAAGTAGGGCTGCCTACATGCATTTAATTCAAGGATATATTTTGATAAGATTTTAAGTGCTAATGTCACTATTGCTAATGAATAATCCCTAGTTAATTATTATATTCTACTTAATGAACCTCAATAATTGGACAAGTCTAAGTATTTTATTGATAAACCTTTGGTTATGCCTTGTATGTTATATTTTGTCTCCTTTTTATTGAAAGGTCATGATAGCAACAGATTTATGAAGATGCATCAAATTCTTTTCATTAGGCCTATTTTAATGGTCATCAGGGTGTTTGCTTTTGGGCTTCAAAATCTAAATAATTTTTAAAGTATAGACATTATATTCAAATTGAGGCTGACTCTTGAAAGGATGCAATTTTAATAATTCTAAAAGCATCACTTCTCTCTTTCCTCTTTCCTTTTCTCTTTCTGGTCTTTTTGTTACTTAAAGGCCTATAATTAGTCAATTCAAGGACAACAGAGTGTGAATAGAAAACAAACCACTTAATTTACATTCTCAATTCCTGATTTCTATCCTCTTAATGACATTATTTGTTCTTATTTTCTCTTTTTAATGGCAATCTCTAATGATTATAACTTTTAAAATAGCATCATTACATAGTTGTCCTTGTTCAGTTTGGCATTTACTAAGAATCTCAACAGATAATTATTATTGTATCTATGTCTAGTTGTCATTCTCTAGCTAGCCTATTGCCTTACTGATCAATCGACACAAATTTATTAAACTACAAATATTATCAAACTTTTGCTCTGAATCAAGCTGTTTACAAAGAAACTTTACAGATCATATTGCTAATCCACAAAGTAATATAACAAATTAACGTCATTATTTCTCACGTATGCATGAGAAGGCCAAGGGTAAAGGTAATTTCCCAGGGTCACAAAACTTGTAAAAGAACAGTTTTTGAAAAAAAGAAAAAGAAAAAAGAAAAATTTTTGAATCTGGGGCTGTTGAATTCTAGTGTCTAGCTAATTTAGGCTACTACATAGCTCTTAGTGAAAAAGCTTGTGGTACTAGGCCCTAATCTTCTTGATCTGTATATGGACGCGTCATGAAAGAAAGTGACAAATTCCTTGCAATGAGGAGATCATTATCAATATGCTTTATCAGAGAAGAAAATTCTCTTCTGCCAAATATGTAGTAATTTGCTCTATAATTCAATTAATCTAAAACATCTTGAAATGTTTGAGAAAAACTTCTAAGTGAAGATTATTTTCGGTTTTTCTTCCTAAATATGAGCCATGGGGAATTAATAATAATGCCGGTCATTATACATTGCCAAAGTTGCAAAAACTTACAAAGATGAGACATAATACCATAGAAATCCAGCAATTTCTCAAATGATGTTATGATAATAGTCCCAATTGCCCTACTTTGTCATATATTTTTGGGTATGCAACTCAACAATAATTTCATTTTCTATGAAATAGAGCAAGTAATTTATGCTACACAAGATTCTGGAAAGGACTGAATTAAATAATGTATGTAAAAAAGCCTTGTAATAAGACATCTAACTTGAAGTTACAATAAGTTTTGAGAAAGTGGCTTTAGCAGTAAGAACTATTATTTTTGTTTAACCTAATTTTAGGAAAGATAAAGATACATTTTTATAATTATTGTCACATAGTACACAGACACCAGGCTTATAAATTGACTTCCTTTCAAGTGGGAATTTATTTATTTCTGTTGTTAAAATAATGACTTTAATGCACATAAAGGTTTGAATTATATTGTTTTCCTTTTAACCTATAGATCAATTGACTTATGAATGAGTGTATCCATCCCTTTAAACATTATTTTATTTGAAAAAAAACCCTAAATATACTTTGAAAATTTCTTTTTATCTTGAAAGATCTACAGTAGGATGGTTTTAATAATGGATATCACCATGCCTAAGAAGTTTGTCCAGCTGCTGGTTTTTAATTTGACTTTGACTGAAATTGTTTTAAGTGGAAATGTGCTAATTTGGCCAACGGATGGTAGCCATTGGTTAAATATTAAGATCATTCTAGAAGAGCTGATTCAAAGAAATCACAATGTGACTGTACTGGCTTCATCAACAACTCTATTCATCAATTCTAATCCTGATTCTTCTGTGAATTTTGAGGTAATACCTGTCTCCTTTACGAACGACAACTTAGATTCCTTAATTGAACACATGATAATGCTATGGATAGACCACAGACCAACTCCTCTCACACTCTGGAGTTTCTATAAAGAACTAGGAAAACTTCTAGATACTTTTTTTCGAATCAATATACAAATCTGTGATGGAGTATTAAACAACCCCAAGTTAATGGCAAGACTTCAGAAACGTGGTTTTGATGTGTTAGTAGCAGACCCAGTAACTATCTGTGGGGACCTCGTTGCTCTGAAATTAGGAATTCCATTTGTGTATACATTGAGGTTCTCTCCAGCTTCCACAGTTGAGAGACACTGTGGGAAAATCCCAGCACCTGCCTCCTATGTACCTGCAGCTTTGTCAGAGCTCACTGACCAGATGACCTTTGGTGAGAGGGTTAAAAATACTATCTCTTATCCTCTGCAAGACTACATATTTCAGTCCTACTGGGGAGAATGGAATTCATACTACAGCAAAGTTCTAGGTAAGTCTCTAAACTATTTTCATATTAATGTCTCCATATACTTCATTTATTCTTGTTGGTAATACAGCAGAGGTTTTCCATCCCACTGCACATGCCAGGCTGAAGTAAATACACACATTACATATAAAACCCTCATACAAGATCATCCTTTTTGGGTAACTTCCAAATATAGAAAATATAATGGTGATACTAATATGTATTCTAATGCTTCAGTGCAAATAATCTTGTGCCTATTTAGGTAATGTCTTTTCAATGAGTAAATCAATCCTTGAATATAAATGAAAGTGCCTTTACTAGGATGAATCGCGACACAGATAAAAAATACCTGGCAAACATTTTGAAGTGATATGTGATTTCCTTTCCCTCCTTCATTCCTCATTCTCTTCTTTGTTTGCAGAAAACTTTCAAAAAGCCTAGGACTGGGCATTGGAAAGCTGACTTTATAACCCCCCAGGCTCCCCCCCCAAGCCTCCCCAAGAGCCGCCACTCTCCCCCCAGTATCTCTCCAGCCTTAAGCTCCTCTGGGTGCTTAGACTAGCATGGCTCCAACTTAAATTTCTCTGTATCCAGGCACCTGGGTGGCTTAGTGGTTGAGCGTGTACCTTCAGCTCAGGGCATGATCCCAGGGTCCTGGGATCCAGTCCTGAATCAGGCTCCGTGAAGGGAGTCTGCTTCTCCCTCTGCCTCTCTGTGTCTCTCATCAATAAATAAATAAAAGTTTTTTTTTAGATAGATAGATAGATAGATAGATAGATAGATAGATGATAGATTTCTCTGTATCCTTCGGCAATCCTCAAGTCTCCTTGCTTCACACATTCCTTGTGAGGATCAAATAAAAAATGCAAAGGGCTCTGGTTTATTATCTTTTTGATCTCTTTTTGATCCTTATGAACCTTCCTTCATTTTTCTATTTTCTTCTCTCCCGAATGGTTTTTCTCAGATTTATCAGGTATTAATTAACAGGTATTAATTAACAGCAGAAATTAACCATTAATCTTACCAACACTAGTTTCTCAGCTTTCCTCCCTCCCACTCTTTATTTTCCTTTCTTTCTCCTTCCTCTCTTCTCTCCCTCTCTCTCTCTCCCTCTCCCCCTTCCTTCTTTTCTTCTATCATGCTTTCTTTGTGTAAAAAAAAAAAAAAAAAGTATTTATTGAACACCAACCTGGTACCTGCCTCTTTTTTAGGTACAGTTGGCAAACCTCAAAATCTCCACTCCCCATAGAGCTTACATACTAGTAAGAGCATACAGAAAATAAAGAAATAAAATATAGGATGTTAGACTGTGATATATGCTATGCAGTAAAATAAGAATAGGTAGTTCTGGGAGCAGGGTTACACTTTTAAATACAGTAGCAAGGAAGTTCTCAAAGGGTGACATTTGAATGAAGACCTGAGGGCAATTAGTATGAGAGCCATTGGGATCCCTGGGGGAAAAGTATTTTAGACATCCATAAGAACAAGTAGAAAAATCTGTGGCAAGCCATGGAAGCAGGAATACCCTCACTGTAATGTGACCTTTATCTTACTTTTCACAAGCAGAATTTGTATATATATATTTTTTTCTTTCCTGGATTTTGGAATATTCTTCATCCAATTTTCCATCACTTACACTTTTAAACTTCTTCATAGAGTCATCTAGAAGGAAGAGATTAAACATACCACACATATATAAATAAATTATATGCAAGATAATTAAAATTTGTGTATACTTTTGAAGATACTATGATTAGAATTTTGAAAGAAAAATTCTGTGTTTTTATATTCATCATAATGTCACATAACTACATTTTCTTTGTTCCTGGATTCCAAATTTCATATGACTCAATGACATATTCTGATTTAAATTTAGATATTATCTTATGATTATTTTCTAAGGCATTTGAAATGTGTCCTATAATAATTGTCTCTGCTCATATATGCATCACATACCAACTACTATAGGTATTGAGTGAGTTAACAGTCTCTATTCCTTAAATAAAGGAATTACGAAAAGCAAGGTGGTGAGGGTTCTTGGAAAGTACCTGGGATTCTGAGTTCAAATTCCATTTACTGTGTAATTTCAGGCAAGTGACTTAAATTCTGAGTCACAACATTTCTACCCTTTTAAAAGGGGATAATTATATCACTGTGCCCTTTAGGATGATCATATGACACCATATAGATGGATGTCTTATGTCAATTATAAAGAACCACACTAATGTTAAACATTGTTTACCCAACAAGTCTACACAAGAACTCTGCAATGACAAAAAACTGGGGCTCTGTACTTACAAAGTAGTCTATATATATATATATATATTTTTTGCATATATGTGTGTGTGTGCCCGTGTGTGTGTGTGTGTGTGTGTGTGCATGCGTGTATGCAAAGAATAAATGGCCTCTGGGGTATACTAAATCTTCCTTCTCAGAAGGAACCATGACAGGTTATATAATGTATGGAAAGCCTTTGTAAAACAGAATGTTCTCAACTTCTCATTTTCACAGGATCATAATCTAGTTTCAGAAATCTCACATTCTGAGAGATTAGATATCTTATTTACTTAAATCCTCTATACGCCTCATGTTACTAAACATACTTGAACGACAAGTAATGCCTTGGATATTTTATTTCAAATTAAAGCATTGGGGGTGATATAATCCTATTAAGTCTTTTGTTCACATTTTTTAAGTATTAGGGACACCTGATAGCTGTAAGTTGATACTGAAATAGAGAAGGTAGTTTACATTTGATATTATTAGCAAACATAGGAGAACACAGGAGATTTAATAACATCAAATTTTTGAAATTTTCCACCTCCATGTCTATTCTTTAGTCTGTGGGAAAAATTGACTGGAAAATTAGCATGTTTATAGTGATATAGGAAAACCCCAAATATCTATTCTGAAGGAAACAAGTTAGAAGGAAATATCTAACTGTACTGGTTAAAAATCTTACCTCCTTCTCTGATGACTTTCCTTTCAGTTTTCCCTGCCTTCCCCTCTGATCCTCTGTCCTGTTTCTTATATTCCACATTTGAATGAAACCATATGATAATTGTCATTCTCTGATTGACTTATTTCACTAAGCATAATAATACCCTCCAGATGCAACCAGGTTAATGTAAATGGTAAGTCTTCATCCTTTCTGATGGCTGAGTGATATTCCATTATGTACACATATATGCTATATAGTAAAAGAAGCATATAACAAGTTATAAGTAAAATTCTTTTTCATCTTCTTTATCTATTCATCTATCAATGGACATCTCAGATCTCCACAGTTTGTCTACTGTGGACATTGCTTCTATAAACATTGGGGTGCAGGTGCCCCTTTGAATCGCTACATTTGTATCATTGGGGTAAATACTTAGTAGTGCAATTGCTGAGTCGGAGGTTAACTCTATGTTTAACTTCCCGAGGAAACTTCATCTCATTTTCCAGAGTGGCTGTACCAGCTTGCATTCCCACTAACAGCGTAAGAGGGTTCCCCTTTCTTTGCATCCTCACCAACATTCGTTGTTTCCTGTCTTATTCATTTAAGCCATTCTGACTGATGTGAGGTGGTATCTCATTATGATTTTGATTTGTATTTCCCTGATGATGAGTGATGTGAAGCATTTTTTTCATGTGTCTGTAGGCCATTTGTAGGTCTCCTTTAGAGAAATGTCTGTTCTGTTTTCTGCTCATTTCTTGACTGGATTATTTGTTCTTTGGGTGTTTTGTTTAATAAATCTTTATTGATCTTAGATACTAGCCATTTATTTGATATGTCATTTGCATATATCTTCTTCTATCCTGTAGGTTGCCTTTTAGTTTTGTTCACTGTTTTCTTTGCTGTGCAAATGCTTTTTATCTTGACGAAGTCCCAATAGTTCATTTTTTCTTTTGTTTCCCTTGCCTTTGAAGACATGTCTAACAAGAAGTTGCTGTGGCTGAGGTCAACGAGGTTGCTGCCTGTGTTCTTGTCCAGGATTTTGATGGATTCCTATCTCACATTTAGGTCTTTTATCCATTTTTATTCTATTTTTGTGTATGGTATAAGGAAATGGTCCAGTTGCATTCTTCTGTATGTGGCTGTCCAATATTCCAAACACCATTTGTTGAAGAACCTGTCCTTTTTCCACTGGATATTCTTTCCTGATTTGCCAAAGATTAGTTAACCATAGAGTTGAAGGTCCATTTCTGGATTCTCTATTCTGTTCCATTGACCTATGTGTCTGTCTTGATGATTACAGCTTTGCAATGGAGTTTGAAGACCAGCATTGTAATGTCACCAGCTTTGGTTTTCTTTTTCAAAACTCCTTTGGCTATTCGAGGTCTTTTTTGGTTCCATATACATTTTAGGATTATATGTTCCAGCTCTGGGTAATCTATCTTTTTTTTTTTAAATTTTTATTTATTTATGATAGAGAGAGAGAGAGAGAGAGAGAGAGAGAGGCAGAGACACAGGCAGAGGGAGAAGCAGGCTCCATGCACCGGGAGCCTGACATGGGATTCAATCCCGGGTCTCCAGGATCGCGCCCTGAGCCAAAGGCAGGCGCCAAACCGCTGCGCCACCCAGGGATCCCTGGGTAATCTATCTTTTGAAGTAAGACATAAATCATAATTTTACAGCTTACTGAAGTTTCAGAGTGTGAAACTGCCCATGCAACGAGCGCCCAAATCTAGAAACAAAACATTATACCCATAACTCCTCTTTCTTCTCATGTCAGTCCTTAACAACTCCCTAAGGGTAACCACTTTCTTAACTTCTAACAATACAAGTTAGTTTGGTGTGATTTTAAACTTTAACCACACATTTTGTACTCTTGTATTTTGCTTCTTTTGCTAATGTTTTTTATATTCACCTAAGTTGTTGGATATAGATATAGTTTGTTCATACTCAAAGTTACATAGATTCTATTGAATTAATATGCTACATTTTATTTCCCATTTTGCTGTTGACAAACATATGGACTATCCTGGTTTTGGCTATTTATGATAAACATTGCTATGAACATTCTTGTACATATATTTTG